GGCTTGAATTGGTCCTAGCTGAATTTGGGAAAACAAACAAAACCACATGCATCTTGAGTGTTTCAGGTTTTTAATCCATACGTATCATAGGAAAAGGTACAGGGTCTTCATTTAGAGTACAGAAAAAAGTGGTGCCAATAGCAAAGCCTCATGATGAAAAATGATCAACATTTGATTTGTAATTTAATCCTCATTTTAGAACAAAAAATTCTAATTAGAGAAACTAAATTCATTTTGTGCCAGAAGAAAATATGCCCTATATGAATCCCTTTACATGCACGTGTATACTTCCAAGCCAAGCCCTGAAGGTTCAGGAACAACAGGCTGAGAGCTGGTGGTTCAGTGTGAGCAGAGTACTCACCCAGCACCTCACCACCTTCCTTGGGTTCCTTGCACAAACAACATGCAGATCCATGGATTTCAGTTGGATGGGAGTTGTGCTTATTTCCAAAAGCTGCTTGCCGGCAACCTCCCAAGTCCATTTTTAAAGGTCACCAAAGTTTGTTTTAAACAGCTAGAGATACCAAGAACTCTGATTCAGCCCTTCTCTAAGTGGAGCTGCCAAGCCACGCCTCCCCAGGCCCTGTCTCCCATACCCCGCCTCCTGCCACCCCACGTTTCCCAAGCCGTACCTCCCTGGGCCACGCCTCCTAAGCCGTGCCTCCCCCGGGCCACGCCTCTCAAGCCACGCCTCCCCGGGCCCTGTTTCCCAAGCCATGTTCCCCGGGCCACGCCTCCTAAGCTGAGCCTCTCAGGCCACGCCTCCCCCCCCCCTCCAGCCCCAGCTCTCTGGGCCACGCCTCCTGGGCTACGCCTTCCAAACCGCACCTCCCGCCTCCGGGGCCCAGCCTCGGGGCATCTCTTGGTTGGAGCAACTGATAAGAGTTGCCGCTGTTTTCTGCTTTGTGGTCCCATTTGAATCGCCCGGGGCCACTGTTGCTAATGCAGATGGGCCCGTAACAACCATCGACCAGTTGAAAGATTTGCTTCTCATTGAGTGACACATCATTGATGTCACAGAGTTCTTATACCTTGAAAGGCAAGCAGGAGAGGGTAGGTAGGCTTGGAATCTTCTTGCTTCAAGAATAAGACGTCATTTTCTCAGTAGGGTGTGGTGACCCAGGTGCGTGCAGTTGTCAGAACTCTTCAACTGTACACGTACAAGCTACACCTCTTATTGAATGTAAATTATATCTAAATTGAAAAGAAAACTAGTAAAAACTAGGATAGGAGGCCAGAGAAGAAGACCAGGGGCTCCTGAGCGTCATTAGTCCTCATGGGAGGAGAGGTGAGAACAGGGAGGAAGTCCGGCCAAGAATGCATCATCTCACTGTGATAACAAGGAAACATCAAACAAACCCCAAATGAGAAAGGTTTTATTCATAAGGAGGGAGGCAGCATACTCATAAAAAAATGTTGGTGTCATTAAAAACAAACAAAAAAGCTGTAGAAATGCTCTAGATTAAAGGAAGCTAGGGGCACCTGGCTGGCTCAGTCGTTGGAGTGTGTGACTCTTGATCTTGGGGTCGTGAGTTCTAGCCCCACATCGGGTATAGAGCTTACTAAAAACAAAAATAAATAAAGGAAGCTGAAGAATTGTGACAACTAAATGCAGAAACTGGCTAGACTAGATTCTGCACTCCTGAGGGGAGGAATGCCATACAGGTCAGTATGAGGTCAAGTGATAATTTGAGTATAGACAGTACATTAGGTAAAGTTATTGTTAATGTAGATTATGAAACTGATAACTACTCTGATAGGTAAGGCAATATCCCTATTCTTAGGCAACACTTACTGAAGCATTTAGGAGTAAAGGACCATTTGGTATCTAACCCTGAAATGGTTCAGAGAATAATAATATGTATGTACATGTGAAAAAAATATGCATGTGTGTACAGAAGAATTTTCTTACTGCTTACCTTGGGAAAAAAGGTTAAAAAAAACCAAAAGCACAAGTTTGGGTCTTGTTGACATGGCCGGTTCAAAGCTTGTCAAATATTTTTCCAACATTGGCACCTCCAAACAAGGAAGATTTTTATCAGATACTTTCCTATCAGTAACTCCTGAAAGCTACATCATACCCATAGCTGATTCATGAAACCCTTGATTCCAGGTCAGGTCACTGTTACCTGGAGATGAACATAGCCCAGGCAAAGTTTATGCATTCGGACAGGGGCATCTGTTTAGTGAGAAGGGAGGGGAGAGAGAGAGAGAGTGCACACAAACCATAAAGCAAATGAGGTAAAATGTTAACAATAGGTGAATCTGGGGAAAGGATATATAAAGGTGTTGTTTGTATAATTTCTCTTTGTTGCCCTTTTTTTGCAAATCGAAAATTATTTCCAAATAAGTGTGTATGTGTGTGCGTGCTTTAACACTGGGGATGAGGGAGCTAGAAGGAGTTCCAGGGGCTTTGTGTCCAGAAGGAACTGGCTGCCAGTTAGATTCATGTCAGTATTCCGGAGGATGCCAGTCCCCATGACAATTATATTGCTCTAACAGCCATAAATGGATAATTCTCAAGGAATAAAAACTAGATTGCTTATGTAACAAACCTGGTAGAATATGAGAGAAGTTCCTTATTGCTTATCCTGGGAAGAAAAGGAAAAAAAAAAAAAGTACAGGTTTTTTGTTGACAGGGCATCTTGAAGATTGGGCAGGTATTTTTTTCAACATCTATACCTCTACCCAAGCAGAATATTATCAGGACACTCTCCTTCAATCAGTAACTTCTGAGAGCTACATCATACCCGTAGTTGATTCATGAAAACCTTGACTCCTGGGTCAGGTCACTGTTATCTGGACATGAGCATGACCCAGGTAAAGTTCAGATGCTGACACAATTATATCTATTCTGTGTCATCCCAGAATTTCCCAGGGTGACCCTGGCAGCATCATAGTGGATTTGGGAAAGGAAGGGGTGTGCGGTGCTATCTCAGTGGGCTTTCAAAGACCATAGGGTCTGATCTTGCTCCGAGCTCAGAGGGCCCTTTGCCCGCAGAAGTGGCCACCGCCCTTACTCCCTTCCTGGGGGGATCTGCTGTGGAAGTGAATGGGACTCAGCCTCCTGCCCACACTGTAGTTGGCTGAATGCACATGGCCGTGATTAGTCTCTTCCCCCTACACAAAAAGAAAATACAGGATTCATTGGTTCAAGCACACTTGCCCAGGCAAATAGAAAGCTCCCCTTCTATCTCACCTCCTTCTGGGATAAGCGAAAGGACAGGTTGCACTTGACTCTCAAAACTTCAGTTTGGACTATGGAATCATGAAGCTGAATCTTTGCTCCTAACCTTTCATCTTAAGGATGGGACTATTTGGGGAACTTGGAAATTCAGCTGTTCGGTAATGAAAGTTACTGCCTTTTTGTCAGCAAAGTGCAAAACCAAAGTGAGATGCCACATACAGGGAATGAAACCCAGGTGGTAAAATAGGTGTGTGTCACAGGCAAGCTTCGTTCTATTTCTTTCCTAGTCATATCACGTTAGTTCTTCAGGAACGGAATGTTGAGAATAAGAGCCCACTATATCTGCACTGGGACTGGGAGGCCTCTCTGGTCATGAGTCAGAGCTGAGCTAAAGGGTCTGTAGCAGGGGAGATGAGCATCAGAGAAGCAGACAGGGGAGCCTGGAGGAAGGATTAAAAGGAAGAGACAGGGCCATTGCTTGCTGGCCAAGGCTGGAGGGACAGAACAGATGGCTCTCCAGCCCATGTATCCTCCTGGTTCATGCTGGTCACCTCAGTCTCAGTAATAACCTGTGGATAACTTATTCTCCCCCTACAGCATTTCCAGTACCATGCGGAGCAATTTATAGGTATTATTTTATGTATACTCACCTGTTCTCTTCTTTTTCCTTTAAAATTTTTTCAGCTTTATTAAGATATGATTGACATATAAGTTTAAGGTATACAACTTGATTATTTAATATGCATGTGTATTGTGAAGTGGTTACCAAGGTAAGGTTAGTTAACACATTTGTCATAGCCTATAGTTACTGTGTGTGTGTGTGTGTGTAGAGAACTTTTAAGATCTACTTTCTTTCTTTTTTTTTTTTTTTTAAGATTTTGTTTATTTATTTGACAGATAGAGACACAGCGAGAGGGAACACAAACAGGGAGAGTGGGAGAAACAGGCTTCCCGCCAAGCAGGGAGCCCGATGCGGGGCTCGATCCCAGGACCCTGGGATCATGACCTGAGCCGAAGGCAGACGCTTAACGACTAAGCCACCCAGGCGCCCCTAAGATCTACTTTCTTAGCAACTTTGTATACAATAAATTATTGGCCTGTTCTCTTATTTTTTTTTAAATAATTTTTTTAAGGATTTTTATTTATTGAGAGAGAGAACGATAGAGAGAGAGCATGAGAGGGAGGAGGGTCAGAGGGAGAAGCAGGTGGGAACCCGATGCAGGACTCGATCCCAGGACTCCAGGATCATGACCCGAGCCGAAGGCAGTCGCTTAACCAACTGAGCCACCCAGGCACCCAAGTTAAGGGACCAAAGGCCGAAAAAGGTGGCCTACCGAGGTCAAAGAGTTTTTAAGTAGAGGGTTCTAGATTTGGAACCAGAGCAGTCCAGGTCCAAACCTCATATGCTTTTTGACCACACTGTGCACAAGTACCCACACATACACACAAACACGGAGTACGTTGAATTTGCAACCTCTGCTTTAGGAAAGAGTTGAGTACAGCTTGCTCATCTTTGACCTTGGACCTCGGCAGTCGGTGCTGCTCACAAAGACATAGGGATGGTTGACCAGAAACCATTCAGGCACCTGGAGCTTTCTCCCGGCACACATTGTCTCCAGTCTGGCTGCATGTGTTGGCCTTCCTCTTGGGACTTGAGAATCTTGGTGTGAGCTGCTACGGTCAGCAGTTCTGGTAAAAACCAGCAGGCCATGTGAGTGGAAGTTGCCAGCGGGCCGGGCTGGCTCCAGTGCTGGAGATTGGCCTGTCTTTTGTCCCCTGTGTCCCTTGCCACTTCTCCCCCCTGTCTTTGCAGGCAACCTTGGTTTGAAACCCAGGGCCGTGGCTCTTGGGGTGCAGCCGGTCTACCAGGGAGCTGTGCATTGCATCGCAACCATCGTGCGGACTGAGGGCCTGGCAGGGATGTACCGAGGTGTTGGTGCCATGCTGCTGAGGGATGTCCCGGGCTACTGTCTCTACTTCATCCCCTATGTGTTCCTGAACGACTGGATCACACCCGAGGCCTGCGCAGGCCCCAGCCCCTGGGCCGTGTGGCTGGCTGGCGGCCTGGCAGGTAAGGACCGCCATGCCGACCCCTGTCCCTGGGCTGATGCCTGTAGTGGGATGCCTGGGGAGCCCATCATACCCTTCTCAGCCCAGGGAAGGGCACGATTCATCCAGTCGCTCGTCCAGCAGTTCTGTGTTCAGCACCCACTACGTGCCAGACCTGGCCAGACACAGGAAAGCCTGGGTATGGGGAATGGTCTCCCTCTTTTTTGCCTCTCCTTCCCTCTGGACCTGTGGGAGTGGCAAGTCCCTCTTCAGGGTCGTTGGACTTTCAGTCAGAAGATGTATTCTGACCATTTCTTTTGTGTCAGGTATTACTGAGCTTTGAAGAGGAAATCTGTTATTGGGGTTCACCTTGTTTTGAATGTTGACACAGCAAGCCTTTCTAATGTGAGAATTTCATTAACTCTGTAAGGGAGGAGTCAGTCTCCCCATTCTTCAGATGAGAAAACTGAGGTTCAGAGGGATTAAGTGACCGACCCAAGGGCACACAGCTAATGAAGACAGTATAGCAGGGACTCGCCAGTCAGCAAGATCCCAATTCAAATCCTCATCTACTCATTCGGTGACCATGGACTGGTTACCTACTCTCCCTACTCAGAAATCACACGGCATCCCTACTTCATTTAGGGTAAAAAATCCGTGTTCTTACAGTGGATTTCAGTCCCTTTATGAACCAGCTGCCTGTTACCCTTCTGCACTCCTTTTCTGCTCCCCTCCCTTTGCTTGTTCTGCTCCAGCCACCCAGGTCTCCTTGCTGCACCCTGATCATGCCTGGCTTCTCCCCACCACGGGGCCTTTGTACTTGCTATGCCTGCTGCCTGGATTTAGCAATATGTAGGTCACCAGGGACTGTGACAGGACCCATTTTGGCAAAGAGAAGGGTGTGAACACCCAACTGAAGTGGGATCAGGAGAGAATGGGATGGAAGAAATTGGACAGTCCAAGGACACACGGCATGTCTGGGGTTTGGCTGGGCTGTGATGGGGAAGAGAGGTATGCAGCTGTAGCCAGAGTGGGGTAGGGAAGTTAAGAGAGCGTTGCTTTTTAAGAAGGCTGATAACATGGCATGTGTGATGTTGATGGGAAAGATCTTCTGGAGAGAAGAAAATGATCATTCCTCCTCCTCTTCCTCCCCCCCCACCCCCATCATCATTAGCTAGGCTCGAAACTCCACAAGCATATAACGAAGCCCTTGTCTTAGCCACCAAACACCAATGTCCGCCCTCTGCCCCCATGCATCTGAGGCCTGGCCTGTGCCAGATCCTAGTAAGTGATTAGTAAGCACTTGCTGGCCGAGAAGACACACGAGGCCCCATTCATTCTTGATTCTGGTGAGAGCAGGTTTGAGTGGCCTGGTAGGCAGACCACGTTTTATAAAACCCTGGCCCGTGGGCTGAGGAACAGGCGAGTATGCCAGGGCAGCACCCGGACAGTCTCCAGGGGAAGCAGCCCCATTATCCCGGCAGGGGGCACGAGGGAAGGGAGGTGCAGAGGATTCCCAGAGGATCATGGGCAGGAGGCCACGGGGGCTGGAGGCTGGGATGGGCAGAGGGTCCAGGACAGACTAAGGCCTCATTTGGGAGTCTCTGGGCAGCAATCAGTAAACCTTGCAAACCAGCTGCCTTGGACTTTGGCCTCAGTTTGTTTTTCTCTTCCTGTCTAAGGATGTGCCAATTTTAGTGTTTCTACAGTAACCTGGCATTGTTTTCTGAGAGTCCTTTAAAGTCATCAAAGCGCTCAAACTAGGGCACCTGAGCTTCTCCAATGAAGATGACCTAGTGTTACATCGTCCCAAGGCTTCAATTTCAGATGTCCGGAAAAGGGCAAGATTTGTAAAGACCTTCCTGCTCTTTTCAGGCCTTAGTTGGCCCTCCGTTGGCGAGTAGCCTGTCTGCAAGTGTTCGCTTAGCTTCTCTGTATTCAGAGTCCCTTCTGTCTCTGGGGAGCTGCAAGCCTTCTGCCCCAGCCTTCACTCTGGGCTCTCGCCCCTGGTGCCCCGGAAAGGCACTGTGAAGTATTGGTGGGGCCTGTTCCTGTGTCTCCAGTAAAACCTGCTAATAAAGGTGTCCACTGACAAAGCGCTGGCTGTGGGCCTGTCACTGTGCTAAATGCTTCACGTGCATCCATTTATTTGGCCTAACAGGAACCCCATGAAGGTAGGTACTGTTGCCCCATTTTACAGATGGCAGACCCAAGGCCTAGAGGAGGAGACTTCTACAAAGTTCCATAGTGAGTGGTGAGGGAGGTTCAGGGATGGCCTTCACAGGTCCTGCCTGAGCTCTGCCCGCTTCCCCCAGCAGCTTGTTAAGCCTGTCAGTGGTAGAGAGGGGCAGGGAGCCACGTCCCCTCCAGACCCCAACCAGCCAGTCCCTGACACCTGTTTGTCTCTCTCTTTACAGGAGCAATTTCTTGGGGGACAGCGACTCCTATGGATGTCGTGAAAAGTCGACTCCAAGCTGATGGGGTTTATTTAAACAAATACAAAGGCATCCTGGATTGTATCTCCCAGAGTTACCGGAAGGAAGGTCTTAAAGTAAGCCCCACCGCAGTGATGTGGGGTCGGTGTCAGTCCCTGGAAGGTGGGCCAGACATTTGGGGGGATGTGAGATTACAGAGGGGAATTAGGAAACCGAAGTACTGGAGGTTACCATCTCAAGCCCTACTTCGATCCTTGTCTCGTCTAGTCCATGCCCCAGGCTGGTGGAAGAGACAGGCTCAGAGAGGACTGGTAACCTACCTAAGGTCACACAGCTGGTGCATGGCAGAGCTAGGACCTGGGCCCGCATCTGTGTGTCACCAAAGCTTACCTTCTCATCAGGAAAGGCTGGGGGCACAGCTTCCTCACTCACTGCTCAGTGCCTCGCCCTCCTCCAAGTAGGGGGTCCCAGAGCCACGTCAGTCATCGCATCTCACAACATCCAGTCCCCTGCTCTGTCTTCTGTTCCCTCACCCCACTCGAGTCCACACCCCGTCACCTCTGGTTTTGGCTATGAGGCAGCCTGCAACCTGGCCTTGTCTACCTTCTCTTTCCTCCTCCCTGCACCCAAAGGGCTCGTCTAAATCCAAGCCCCTTCCTGTCTCTGAACTGTCCTAGGATGACGAACAGCATTCCAAGTTTGGCATCCAAGGCTATAAACAAAATCATCCCTGTCTGTGTTGCCTCCCGTGACACCCCCTAGTACCCTTCAGAGAAACCATCATGCATGTTCTGCCTCCTTGGGCCCCCAGCTTTCGTGGCTTGCCCCTTCAAGTCAGCAGGCTTGAGTTAAAGCCAGCCTGGCTACTCATGAGCTGGGTGGGGGAAATCCAGGCAACTTGTTTCCCCTCTGGGCCTCAATTTCTCCAAGGATAATCATCCTCACCATGAACAACAGGGATATTTGTTAGTGGGATTAAATTAGGCATATAAAAAGTGCTTAGCTTCATGCATAACACACAGAGTATATTTACAAAGAGCTGCTTGTCATTGGCTTTAGTATTAGTATTAGTAGTTTTACTAGTGTCAATCTTACTACTGAACACTGGACCTTTCCTCACATGGCTGCCTCATCCCCCGCCCTCCCTGCTCCAGTGCATCCAAACTCACAAACTCTCTCTCTCTCTCTCTCTCTCTCTCTCTCTCACACACACACACACGTATATACTGGCCAAGTCCTTGTTCTCCAAGTGCTCCCAGACTGCAGCTGAGAGGGGCTGGAGCCAGTTCATAGGCTCTCTGCCTAGTACCTGATACACAGGTGGGCAGGACTTTTGGGTCCCTTAGCATGTGGTGCTGGATCCCACAACTCCCACAGAGGCACCTGTATGGGTGGATGGATGCCCAACTTTTGTTGTTGAGGTGGGGACAAGATAGGGACATTTTGTACTTCCACAATGCTGATGTCACTCTCTTCGTGTCTTAACCTTTATTGAGATTTTTATTTCTTCATACAGATTCAAGTGCTCTTTCATTTCACCCTCCAGAGTTCCTTTGAACATTTCTTGCAGGGTAGATCAAGTGGCAGTGAACTCCCTCAGCTTTTGTTTATCTGGGAACGTCTTCATTTCTCCCTCAGTCTTGAAGGATAGTTTTCCTGGATACGGGATTCTTGACTGACAATTTTTTCTTTAACACTTTGAATATGTTGGCCTATTGACTTCTGGTCTCTAAAGTGTCTGATAAGTAATCTGCTGTTAGACTTACTGAGGATCCTTTGTATGTAATGTGTTCTTTCTATCTTGCTGCTTTCAAAAGTTTGATTGTAATGTGTCTTGGTGTGGGTCTTTTTGAGTTTATTTTACTTGGAGTCATTAAGCTTCTTTGATGTTTATAGTCAGGTCTTTCACCAAATTTAGGAAGTTTTTGACCATTATTACTCCAAATATTCTCTGCCCCATCTCTCTTCTCCTTTGGGACTCCCACAATGCATATATTGATTTGCTTGATAGTTTCCCACAGATCCCTTAGGCTTGTTTCTTTTTCTCAACTGCAATAATTTCCATTGTCTTATTCTTTTTTTTTTTTTTTTAAGATTTTATTTATTTATTTGACAGAGAGAGCGAGAGCAGGAACACAAGCAGGGGGAGTGGGAGAGGGAGAAGCAGGCTTCC